GTGAAACAAAGCAAAACCAATGTTACACCGTGTCTACACCGGACGCGAGTGGCGAGGCGCGACAAAATACTATAGAACTCATAATCAGTGATGCTGTCTACACCATAGATATATATACATATCTATGGTCTACACTGGATGCGGCGCAGCATGACACGACAAATCCCCGACAGAAAACTGCTGCTGAGTTCTATTTATGACGTAGTGACACAAATTTCAAATGATTTTCAACGGTCACTTTGTCGCCGTTTTTAACACCGTGTCTACGCCACAACAGCTACTCACCTATCGAGAAGAAACAAAGCAACCTCGGCACCTGATCGCAGGCCTTCCGCTCCTTGAGTTCTCTCCAGCGCTGGAAAGTTGATTCGATATTTACACGGGTCCTACTTCTTGCCTTATGCCTTAGATTGTTCCGCAGACGTTTTCCTCTTTTGTTTCTTATCCGCCATCTCTATCTTTCTCTCGCTCGGCTCGGACTGAACGCTCTCTCCTCCACATCATAGACACGCCCGCCCCTTACTGCTGATTGGCTACAAGTTTGTTTTGCTAGTCGGCCCGAATCAGTTTTCTAAAGCGTTTTTGAAAAATCGCTTACCCCACCTTTAAATAAATTGTTGTTGTTGTTGTAACAATAATAATAATAATAATAATTACTTTTAAAAAACAAAAACAGGATTTGTATTGTTTATCAGAGTGTTAGGTCCAATTTCAGATATCCTCCATATCCACCTTGGAAAAGGAAATTAAACATAATAAAGGGATGAGCTATGGCCCTCTTACTTCCTTCAAGAGTCCCATTCTACAATGCCAAACATATTGGTGTTCCTGCACTGTCCTCAGAGCCCTGCACTCATGTTAGGTGAAGGCATATTGTGGTCTTTAAAAGCAGAAGTGACCTTGACCAATTATTCCATTTGCTCTCGCTCGGCTCGGACTGAACGCTGTCTCCTCCACATCATGAGTAGACACGCCCCTTACTGCTGATTGGCTACAAGTTTGTTTTGCTATTCGGCCCGAATCAGTTTTCTAAAGCGTTTTCGAAAAATCGCTTACCCCACCTTTAAATAAATTGTTGTTGTTGTTGTAACAATAATAATAATAATAATAATTACTTTTAAAAAACAAAAACAGGATTTTTATTGTTTATCAGAGTGTTAGGTCCAATTTCAGATATCCTCCATATCCACCTTGGAAAAGGAAATTAAACATAATAAAGGGATGAGCTATGGCCCTCTTACTTCCTTCAAGAGTCCCATTCTACAATGCCAAACATATTGGTGTTCCTGCACTGTCCTCAGAGCCCTGCACTCATGTTAGGTGAAGGCATATTGTGGTCTTTAAAAGCAGAAGTGACCTTGACCAATTATTCCATGTTTACCACTCTGCTAACTCAGGCTGCAAAAAAGCAGACATGACATAGGCTTTCTACAATAGGGCCTGCTCTTAGCCGGTGTAAATTACTCAGAGGAATTTTTTCCCCCTGCTTCTTGATCTCACGTTGCGGTCTATTCACTACCAATGCATCACAGCTTCACTTTCAATTAAACCGTCCACTTGCCAGCCCTTCTGCCACCGTCATCACTCAGACGCTCACACTCAGGGCTCGTTCTGCCGGAGTTGCTGCCGTACAGATGTGAACAGCGACTGCTCTGAGCAAGGTTCCTTGTAAAGAGCAGTGTGGAGGCGTAGGCAGAAATGGGTTGAGAGTGGAGAACAGAAATAAGACGAGACAAGTAATGCTTCATACATGTGTCAAGATGACAGGGCAGCAGTTAGTAGCCTTGTCAACTTCCTGTTAAACCATCCGCCTGCGTGTTCTTAACGCTATGTTAATTAATCATTAAAGTAAACCACTTCAATCAGCATGCGCACCCATTAAAGAGCGGTTTACACACGATATTAGACTGTGAGTGGACACGACAAACATGCAATTAAGTTCTCCTGACTGGACACAACATCTTTTGCTGTTCTTGCGTCTGCTATTTGCTGTGACTGCTGGTGCAGTTCTGAGAATAGCAATATAAATAAATTTTCCCTACGAGGCAAAGACACCTTGTCTTCCTGTTTGTCAGAGTAACAGAATCCATGATGAAGAAAAAAAAAAACACCACCAAACGGCAAAAATGTCTCAGACATTTATTCAGTCTCTTTCTTTTTTTTTCCTTCCTCCATTTTTCACTCTCACATTAGAACAGTGAATGACATTCTTTCAAATCAATCAACACCTGCGGAAGGACTGTTGAGAAAGCAAGAGAGAGAGAGAGAGAGAGAGAGAGAGAGCGTTAAGGGAGTGCTGGGCGGTATGACCAAAAATTTATATCATGGTATTTTTCAAAATTATACCGGTTTCACGGTACAAGACGGTATTTTTTTTTTCATGCATGACCGAGTGTTAACCATATTTTCTACTGATTGAGAGAGGAAATACTGCAGTATATTGACTTAGAATGCCCTATTTTACTATCGTGTGTGAGACGCGGGAGCTGATGGCAGGGGGCGGTGGATATTTGTGGCGGTCAATGTGGATATTGTGGATGAGTTCTTCTGTGTCATCACGTTCTATTAGTTCTACAGTTTCAGTTTCTGAACTTTCACGCTTAGTAACACATACAGCTGTTCCCTCACCACAGTGCAACACCCCTTTCAAACAGTGTCGCGTTCCGAACGTTGTTTAAGTGACATATACCAGTATTGCGGTATTTTCAAAATTCATATCATAACAAAAATAAAAACCGGTATTCGGTATGAACCGGTATACCGCCCAGCACTACGTTAAGGCACGTGCAAGTCTGCTTGCAGTTTCATTAGAGTCGAGACATTTGAAAGTATCTGTTGGGTTGTTAAGATTGAAGCCTCTGATGTTCCATGGCATGTTTAACTCAGGAGATGACTGGAGATAATTAATGCTGTGGCATTCAGTCTTAGCTATGGAGATTAAAGGCTTGAAGCTAAACAATCCCAGAAAGTTGGTATCAGCAGTTGTAATATAAATTGATCATTATGTGATCAGTGAAGTGAAGTTATTCAACACAAACACTTCTACTCAATGCTCCTCAGGGTTCTGATCAACTTATCAGAGTTTATTCCGCAATAAATGATGGACCAACTATTAACATTTGTGATCTTTAAAGGAACACTCCACTATTTTTGAAAATAGGCTCATTTTCCAACTCCCCTAGAGTTAAACAGTTGAGTTTTACCATTTTCAAATCCATTCAGCCGATCTCCGGGTCTGGCGGTAGCACTTTTAGCTGTAGCTTAGCATAGATCATTGAATCGGATTAGACCATTAGCATCTCGCTCAAAAATGACCAAAGAGTTTCTATATTTTTCCTATTTAAAACTTGACTCCTGAGATGCTAACGGTCTAATCAGATTCAATTATCTATTTTAAGCTACAGCTAAAAGTGCTACCGCCAGACCCGGAGATCGGCTGAATGGATTCGAAAACGGTAAAACTCAACTGTTTAACTCTAGAGGAGTTGGAAAATGAGCCTATTTTCACAAATAGTGGAATGTTCCTTTAAAATGCAAGGGAGGCAGAATTTAAATTTTTGGATGAATTATTCCTTTAAGAAATTCCAGAGAAAATACATAAAGAGATAGACTGAATTTCACCTATTTAAATGTTTTAGTTGTCGCCCGTTTCTTATCTGTGTGTACACTGCAAAAAAGAAAAGAACAAACAAATTCACCATATTGCCCCTTATATTTCCATCCATTTTTCAGGATAATCTTCATCTGCTCTGATTAAAAGCTCTTTCCCTCTCTGTCAAACCAATTGTTTGCCCTACTGCCAGACATTTTCTCAAAACAAACAGGGCTATTAGTTTTGGCTACTGCTTACAATGAGCTGACAGGAAACAAGGAAGCATGTGAAGATTTTGCATCTTTACACAGAATTTGCTTTTTTTTTTTTGCATTTATCTCGAATAATCATCCAACATGTAGTATTTATCCTTCATGTCAGTCTTTCCCGCCCTTTTTTGTCTCACGTACCCCTGTAGCCCCATCAGTAACGCTCAAGCACCATCATCGACATAACAGCTGAAATTGGGATTTTTATAATCTGATGCCATTGTTGATTTGAGAATGCTGCATTAAAGTCAAAGTACAAAAAAACAATTGTTTGATCTTCAGTAGTCTTTGTCAGGTTTACAGTTCCCATCTCACCTGGTTTAAAAAAAAGAAGAAAAGAAAAAGAAAAGAAACATCCAACAGCAAATCACTAGAAATCTGCTGCAAGACAGTTTCATGTTCCTTTGTGTCTCACAGCATTTCAGAACATGTGAGTGTTGGGCATTTTTTATAATTCTGCGGTTCTTAAAA